GTGAGGTGCGGAGCGGGTCGAGTGGACCGGGGTGGCTGTGAGGCGCAGGGTCAAAGCCGAGCGGAAGAGGGGCGGGAATTGGAGGCGGGATGTGGCGACGGTGGCAGGGCCAACCCCGGCTGGGTGGACGGGCACTGAGACAGGAGGCGGTTACGTCCAAACGGTCCCTGCGCGCGGGGATCTGAAGTCTTCTTCAGGAGGGGGGCCGGCTCTTCACCCCTTCGCTCCGCTGTTGGCCTCCCATCTCCTCATCCAGGGCACTTTGCCTTCCTCTCCTCTCAGCTCCGGCGCGTCCCTTGGCGCCCCACCCGCGCTTCCTTGTCCGGCCGTGACGCTCCCTCGAGCCACGGGGAGCTTTGCGGTCGCCTCGGGTACCCCCCCACCCACGTCCCTGCTGCAGGCTCCCAGTGTCCTGCCCCGGCGTCGAGTGCGCCCTGCTGGCTCCCCAACCTCTCCCGCGGTCTGTTCTTGTTAGGATTTTGTTTCGCGTCGAGCGGAGCGGCGCTTGCGGTTTCTGCCCTCTCCACGCCTCGAATCGTTCTTTTCTTGCATTGAATCAGTCGGCGAGCATGTCCAAATCCTCCAAGAGGTTTAAGGGACTGAACTAGGCTTTAGGGACAAGAAGATGAAATATTACATACGAAAGCTACAATTCTCACAAAGTGCTTTCTAGCGTCAGACCCTGATGGAGCGCTTCCCATGAGTTACCTCATTCAATTCTCGCAACTCCGAGAGGCGCCTTGTATTTCACGGATGACTCAGAAGTCCGGCTCAGAGCTAGCCAAGTGATAAAGAGAGGATTCAGGCTGAAGTCTGCGTGCCTCCCGTGCTATAACCAGACCACCACGCCTCCCTGCGTTTTCCACATTGCAGCTCGAAGGTCTTTGGTCTTCCCACCACCCTCCCTCCTTAAAATTAAAACATCCCTGCCTCTTATCCTTCCCTGTGCCAGCAGTGTTTTCCCCACTTTTTTTTTTTTTTTTTTTTTTGATGGAGTCTCACTGTGTCGCCCAGGCTGGAGTCCAGTGGCGCCATCTCGGCTCACTGCAACCTCTGCCTCCCGGGTTCAAGCGATTCTCCTGCCTCAGCCTCCCCAGTAGATAAGACTACAGGTGCGCACCACCACACCCGGCTAATTTTTGTGTTTTAAGTGGAGACAGGGTTTCACCATTTTGGCCAGGCTGGTCTGGAACTCCTGACCTCAAGTGATCTGTCAGCTTCAGCCTCTTTAACTGCTGGATTACAGGCATGAGCCACCATGCCTGGCCTGAATACTGTCTTGTTATGAGAAAAATGATTAGTGATTCCAGTGTGCCATGTGGAAGTTGGTGGCTATTCATTGAGCAGAATCGAAGTTGCTTTTAAAGCATTAACCATTAGGAAAGAGATGTATAAATTTTAGGTGTGTTTAAACCTCTTTTGATGAGAAAATCCTAAAAGACTAGTTATTTGAGACAGAGTCTCACTGTTGTTGCCCAGGCTGAAGTGCACTGGCCCGATTTTCACTCACTGCAACCTCTGCCTGCTGGGTTCAAAGGATTCTCCTGCCTCAGTCTCCCGAGTAGCTGGGATTACAGGCGCCCGCTACCACGCGCAACTAATTTCTTGTATTTTTAATAGAGACAGGGTTTCACCATGTTGGCCAGGCTGGTCTCCAACTCATGACCTCAGGTGATCCGCTGGCCTCGGCCTCCCAAAGTGCTGGGATTACAGGCTGACAATTTTAAAACAGAGCTAGTGCTTTGTGTTACAGTGTTTTTTTGTTTTTTGTTTTTTGTTTTTTTTGGAGAAGGGGTCTTGTTCTGTCACGCAGGCTGGAGTGCAGTGGCAGGATCTTGGCTCACTGCAACCTCTGCCTCCCTGGCCCAACTGATTCTCCCACCTCAGCCTCCAAAGTAGCTAGGGCTACAGGCACATGCCACCATGCCTGGCTAATTTTTGTATTTTTTGTAGAGACAAGATCTCACTGTGTTGCCCATGCTAATCTCGAACTCCTAGGCTCAGGTGATCCTCCTTGATCACCCCTGATTATGACTCACTGCAGCCTTGCCCTCCAGGGCTCAGTGGCGCCTCCTACATCATCAGCCCTCCCAGGAGCTGGGAACATAGGTGCACACCACCACACTAGCTAATTTTTTTTTTTTTTTTTGAGACAGATTCTTTGTCACCCAGGCTGGAGTGCAGTGGCTCGATCTCAGCTCACTGCAACCTCCACCTCCTGGGTGCAAGTGATTATTGTGCCTCAGTCTCCCAATAGCTGGGACTACAGGCATCTGCCACCATGCCTGGCTAATTTTTGTATTTTTAGTAGAGATGGGGTTTCACCATCTGGTCTGTCCAGGCTGGTCTCGAACTCTTGACCTCAAGTGATCCGCCCGCTTCAGCCTCCCAAAGTGCTGGAATTACAGGTGTGAGCCATTGTGCCCGGCCCACACTAGCTAATTTTCTATTTTTTTTTTTTGTAGAGACAGGGATTCGCCATGTTGCCCAGGCTGCTCAAATTCCAGGGCTCAAGTACTCCTTCCACCTTGGCCTTCCAAAGTGCTGGGATTACAGGTGTGAGCCACTGTTCCCGGCTTATTTTTTCGTTTTACCTTGTAGTTAACATAGTTTGCATTCTTTTTTGTTTGTTTGTTTGTTTTTGAGAAGGAGTCTCGCTTTGTCGCCAGACTGGAATGCAGTGATGTGATCTCGGCTCACTGCAACCTTTGCTTCTGGGTTCAAGCGATTATCCTGCCTCAGCCTCCCGAGTAGCTGGGACTACAAGCACGCACTACCATGCCTAGCTAATTTTTGTGTTTTTAGTAGAGACGGGGTTTCACCTTGTTGGCCAGGATGGTCTCGATCTCTTGACCTCGTGATCCGCCTACCTCGGCCTCCCAAAGTGCTGGGATTACAGGCGTGAGCTACCACGTCCAGCCATAGCTTGCATTCTTTTTGCAAAATGTTTAGCATAGTTTAGGATCTTTTCATCCCTTCTCTCTCTGCAGATAGGCTTTCTAAGCAGTGTTTGATTATTACAGATTACTATTCTCAGTGATGGTTTAGAATCTGACAAAATAAAATCTCTGTACCTTTAATAACTTTTTTTTTTTTTAAGTAATAACTATTTATTGAGAGAATGTCTTTTTTTGTTTGTTTGTTGGAGATAGACACATCGTCACCCAGGCTGGAGTGCAGTAGTGTGATCTTGGCTTATTGCAACCTCTGCCTCCTGTGTTCAAGCGATTTTTGTGTATCAGCCTCCTGAGTATCTGGGAGTACAGGAACCTGCTACCATGCCCGACTAATTTTTGTATTTTTAGTAGAGATGAGGTTTTTGTTTAGTAGAGATGGGGCCATGTTGGCCACACTGGTCTCAAACTCCTGACCTCAGGTGATCCACCCAACTTAGCCTCCCAAACTGCTGGGATTACAGGCATGAGCCACCGTGCCTGGCCAGGTTAAAATCTTATGTTTTAGTTTCCTAATTTATATTTTGAACATTAAATTTCTAACAGTATTTTTAAATTTTATTATTATTATTTTTTTGAAGCGGAGTCTTGCTCTGTTGCCCAGGCTGGAGTGCAGTGGCGCGATCTCGGCTCACTGCAAGCTCCACCTCCTGGGTTCATGCCATTCTCCTGTCTCAGCCTCCCAAGTAGCTGGGGATACAGGCATCCGCCACAACGCCTGGCCAATTTTTTGTATTTTTAGTAGAGACGGTTTAACCGTGTTAGCCAGGATGGTCTCTATCTCCTGACCTCATGATCCGCCCGCCTCGGCCTCCCAAAGTACCATGATTACAGGCATGAGTTACTGCGCCCGCCCGTAACAATATTATTGTATAAAAGATTACTTTCCAAAAATTTAACAAATCATTTTGTATATTGAGATGTTTTGCTTATAGAGAGTAGACAAAATGGCTCTGAGGCAGTGTACAAGTTTGTATGATCAAAAAGAGCAAAATTATGTCTGTTCTTTCATTTTACAGAAGCAGTAGAGAACTGTGGACTATTCTGCTTGGAAGGTCAGCTCTGAGAGAGCTGGTAAGTGGCGGTGTTCTTGAGTGGGTTCTCTGGGTTCTTCGTGTAGCTTTTGTTGCAAAAAAAAAAAAAAACCCTTTTTTTTTTTTTTAATGTAGGAAGTAAACACTTATTTATTTATTTATTTAGAGACGGAGTTTCGCTCTTGTTGCCCAGGCTGGAGTGCAGTGGCGTGAACTCGGTTCACCGCAACCTCCGCCTCCCAGGTTCAAGCGATTCTCCTGACTCAGCCTCCTGAGTAGCTAGTGTTACAGGCATGCACCACCACACCTGACTAATTTTGTATTTTTGGTAGGGATGTGGTTTCTGCATTTTGGTCAGGCTGGTCTCAAACTCCTGACCTCAGGTGATCTGCCCTCTTTGACCTCCCAAATTACTGTG